GGTTCCTTGCCAATGGTTTTCTTGGTGCCCCTCTCCCATCATGCCTACCATCCCTTGCCACCTATGCTAGCAGAAGAGAAAGACCTCCCCCATCCATCGTGGTGCCTCCCAGGCACGGAGCTAAGCCCTTTGCGGTAGGGAGACCTGGTTGCAAACATTATTACCTCATGTGGATTGTTGCTATTACAATTATCCTACCACTCATAGACAAGCTTGATGCGCAAGAACATTGCACTGTCTGCTTGATGTGTGCTCAGTGGGGGATCCACATGCAAAAAAAACCATCATGCAAAGAGCTGTCTCATGCGACTTGCATTACAGGCCATCCTTCCTGGGGACAGCGTGGGAGAGGCTGTGCTCACCACCGGGCTTCTAAATTTCCTGAATTGTGAGTATGCTGGTCCTGATGGTTACCATGGCATGTTTGCGCGAAGCCTGGCCTATTCATGGATAGGTCTATCTGTTCCGATGAGATTTGTACCCGCGGCCTGGCAAGGAAATTCTGCTCTCTGTAGACTGAGATTTTAAATGCAAAAGGTCAGGCCCTCAAAACCATGAAAGTGATGCCTTGATATGCTGGTTGCAGTGTACAACAGTGCCCTGATCGTGCGCCTGGTGCTGACCTGGTTCCCCAACCCACCGGACTTCATCCAGCAGCCACTTGCGTGAGTTTTGGTTTGATGACGATATGTCACAGCAGCATGTGTGTGTTGCAGCCTGCATTCTGGCACCATGGTGCTGCCTGCACACACACACACACACACACACACACACACACACACACACACACACACACACACACACACACACACACACACACACACACACACACACACACACACACACACACACACACACACACACACACACACACACACACACACACACACACACTTGGTGCTAACCCACCTTGCTCGCTTTCTCTGTACCTGCAGCACTGTGACGGACCCATACCTCAACCTGTTCCGCGGGATCATCCCTCCTTTAGGAGGCACCCTGGACTTGTCCCCTATCCTGGCCTTCATTACTCTCAACGTAGGTGCATGCATTACGTACGTGATTCTGCATCCAAAGGAGACTCTAAGGGTACTCTTTGTCAGACAGCTCCCTTTAGTTCACCATTGCTGGTCAGGAGTGCTTGGAATACCAACAGCCACAAAATTCAGGGATAGACCTTATGAGGATTTGGGACAACTAAATATTTTTTTAAGTGCATAAGTCAGAAGGTTTGTGCATGTGTGCGTCTGTAAAGGGTCATTTTGTGGAGAGAGGGCATGGGAAAGACTCCCTGGAAGGCACCCATCACATCCCTAATAACCCATTCTTCCAGCCTAGGCCTTGTTTATGATGCCAGAATGATGGACAGTACAAGAGTCTGCCCATGGAGATCCAAAGTCCAATGGGAGGCTGTCATGAGGCAATATGCCAAATTCCGACAAAGGAAGGTCCTATTGTAGGTCCAAGATCCAAGGTGGCTGCAGCGCTGCTGTAGCTGAGCGGAATGAGAGTGAGCCCAGCTGTGGATAGAAGAAGGAGGATTTGGATTAGGGGCCCAGCTGGGGGCCCGAGGCTGAAGTTACGAGGTTGGGATGCACGGGCAGAGTTTACTTTTTTAAAGGTCCAGTGGAGACGAGAAGCCTGGCAAAGGAAGCAAGGATTGATTTGGTGTTCAACTTAGGCACCAATTAGGCCTGGTGATTCGGGCCAGGGAGGCACCACTTCCTACAGGCACTGTACGTGATGTATGCAAACATTCATTTCGGCCTTCGCATTCTAAAACCATTTTTTTTTCCTGAATTGAAATGTATACCGAGCATGGCCCATCTCTACCGGCATAAGCGTTTTTCACTCTGCATAAGCCTACCAATCTTCATTAATCTGCAGATATGCTGGACGCAACACTGGGAATGCAGGTCAGACCTCGTGTTAGATTGTTTGCCTGCCACGCTCACTCTCATATGCTGTTTAACTCCAAGGAGATAGGAATGCTTGGTGCCCACCAAACTGTGCGGTAGCTAAGGATCCCTGACCGGGAGTGAACGAAAGGAGCCAGGAGTTAGCAGCTTTGCCTTTGCCTGTCCCTTGCACACTGCTGCAACCACGCTGTGGTCTTCAAACCTGTTTTTGTCTGGTGATATAAGCCATATGCATTACAAGATTGGTACATCCTTCAGGCATACATTACAGCCAAAGATCACCATTTTGTTTTGGCAGTTTTCGCCAATCCATGCTGCACTCAAACAACTTGACCTGTTTCCCCTTGCCTCATCATGCATAACAGTTTTTCACCAGCTCTGCTGCCGCGCTGCCCTGCGAAGTTGGGCCTGATGGCAAGCCGCTCCTTCCTCAGCAGCAGCAGCAGCAACAGCAGCGCAACCCCTTCCAATTCATGCAGCCCACCCGCCTGCAAGCAGCATGGCAGAACAGGGTCAATGCACAGCGCAGCGGAAGCCATGGTGGGGACAGCAGTGCATCGGTCTGAGCCAACATCTTGATCGTGGACCCGGGTGTAGTTGTGGTTGAATATCGAGCTCCTGCATATCTTGTTAAAAGAGCAATCCTGATTGGAGTCTGGATACCTCCAAGCCGTTTTTCCTTTCAGCTGCCTGCTGGCTCTGTTCCCCCTGTGCACGCCAAAATTTGATTTGATTCTCAATTGAGAGTGCAGTCAACCGGCTGTTTTTCCTTCAGGAGTGGCTCGGCATTTTGTAGTTAAAGTTTGCTGAGCTTCTTCTTCGGACCCCTTTTTGTGATGCGTGTGTCCATGCAATTAATTGTTTCTGAGAAGACTCGGAATGTCCAAGCTGCTTTTGCCTGAAAGAATGAAAAAGGCAGGACCGCGTAGCTGTATCTGCCTACAAGGGCTACTCACAAGGGTTTTGTGTTTTTGAGATGGGATTGAGCCTTTGGCTAAAGGTAAATTTGGCTACGCAGTCTTCTATTGCAGAGAAAAAAGTCTGAGCGTGGGAGCTTGTGTGCTGGAGCAAGGGGTAACAAGAGGTTGGGCTGATGCCCGAGACTCTGGCTGATCAGCTGCTAACAGGATATTTTTGACCAGCGAAAAAAATGTGCTGGAACACGTGAGAGAGAGAGGAAGTGTGCTCGTGGCAAACGGAGGTTAAAAATGTTCAAATTCTTCCAATCAGGGCAGTGAGGGCAGCGTTCCTTACATTGCATTATATTGCATTAGGGAACATGACCTTTATCAAGAACTTGGGCCGCTACATATTCCTATGATAAGGATCCATGAGGTAAGGTAAGGTTATATCGCTTTATCCACCTACAAGGGCAGCTGAGCGGAGACTTAGATGCCTGTATCCAGGCCAATTTAAACAAAAATGAAAGCATTGCTCAAAAGTCAGGCACAGCATTTCAAGCATGCAGATACAAACTTGGCTAATTCTAAGACATTAGCTTGGTTCATGAAGTCTCGGAGGCGTCCTGGACAACTGGAAGGTGCACAGCTGAACAAATGATGGAACTGGTTGCGCGAGTCTGTCAGATCCTGGGAAGGGCACTCCAGAATAATGTGCTCTTCATCTTGCACAGTGTGCCAATCGCATTCATCCATGAGGTAAGAAACAAAAGAATTTGTCCTGGTATTTCCATATGTAAAGACAAGATTCTCGGAGGCACCTTCAGAAGGTTTTGTTCAGAATCTGAACAAAAAAAAAGTAATAAGGTTTGCATATGTAAGGTTCACATTGGGGATTAAGCCTTCAGCCAGTAAGTTTGGCTGCTCAGCCTTTTTAGCCAAATAAACCTGAGCAAGAAATATAAAGCTGTTTCACTTGTGTAGGCAGAGGGAAAATGTGCACATGGCAAACGTATGTAACTCAAAACAGACTTGAACATTCTCAATCAAAACAAAAGAAAATAAGGCATAAACACTTGTACCATCCAAAGCTACAAGGTCTTCGAGTGTGCGCTAGGCTCTATCCTAGGCTGACCTGTCCACTTTGATCCCCCTGAGATCTCTCCTCATGGCGGGGACATCCACGTTGTAACTAAAATTTTGTCCAGACACCAACCCTTTCATCACTTCGAAAACTTCAGCAACTCAACATTGTCGTATTATAATCAGACTCAAACCCGGAGCTCAAGAAGTCCAAGGAGGGATAACAAAGTGACGCTGCACGTTGTCTGAATTGGTGTGGCCATTGACATACCTACAATGAGTACATAATCAAACCTGGTAGAACAGTCTGGGTGAAACAATCTATACAAAGAGCCAAATCACCGGCATCCAAGCTTAACCACCATCTAAAAATAGACGGCTATTATTAACACCAGGCATGCTCTTCATGTTCAGGGAGACTCTTGGGACTCTCCGGGGGCTTTTGCTGGGCGCGCTGCGGAGGAGAGCAGAAGGATGAGAGTCCGAGCATCCAGGAGCATGGCGGACAACCCTCCAGATCCTAAAAGTAAAGTGAAAGTAAAAGTCTACGCAGGACACAACCAGCGTGCATTAAGGAAAGACCCAACGGTCAGTGCTGAAACTAACAGTGAGCCCCACCAATGAAAGCTAGCTATGAGCAGCCCAGCTAATGTGGGTCCAGCGGGTCAGCCATCCGTCCAGCTGCACGCCTTGCTGTCCTGTACGCTGCCCGCCCCGTAACCCCCTCCCCCAAACCTCCGTTGCTTATGTTGCTGAATTGGATGGCCTTTTTTTATATTGTTAATTTTGGCTAGGCTCTTTACAGCGTGATAGTGGAGATCTTTTGCAATTTTGTGGGCTTTGTCTCTGGTGAGGCCAAGTTTGCAGAGGGGATCAATAGTGTAGGGATTGAAGATAGTTCCAGCAACTTTAATTTGTATGGTGTGCAATGTGACTGTGTAATTGCGGTGTGTGCCCCAAAGATTTTTTGTGCGCAGGCTGTCATTGGTGTGTTAGTGCTAATATCACTGCGACACAAGCAGGGCGGCGGAGGAGGTCGCAGGTTCTGATCCTGGCGGGGCCCTTGTGGAGCCCTTTCCTTAATGCACGCTCCGTGATCCTGACCCGCCTAGCTCAGTTGGTAGAGCACAAGGCTCTTAACCTTGTGTTCCGGGGTTCGAGCCCCCGGGTGGGCGCCAGGAAGGCAGGAACCTGGTGTGGTTCACATGAATCACATCCCCGAAAGGGACATGGAGATCGTGGGTTTGATTCTATAGGAGTTCGATAAGGCGGGCCCTTCTGGGTGCTAAGGTTGTTCCCCTGTGATGCTTGGGGGCTAGTTTCGCTTGCGTAGCTTTTCCTTTTCCTTTTCCTTTCCTTGAAACAGAGATAGAGCGTAGCAATTTCAAATTTGTTTGTGCTGATTTTTTTCTGTGCGGAGTGTTTGTTCAGGTTTGGAATCAGAGCAGAATTTTAGTTCAATGAGGTGAATCTGTCTCTGGGATTCATATCTTGCGGGTAATGTGTGGAGTCTCTGCCTTCAAGGGGCGACTGAGCTGTGCATTTGGTGGTTGTCTGGATGGAAACAGCCAATGCAGATGTTTTGGTGGACACTATTTCGAATTTAACCTCCAGGTAGCATATGCTTAGTGTCTCTGTATTGCATGCATCTGTAGAGATCCATAGTCTCCTTTGCTAATTGCTTCACCGCAGATGCTGGGTGCTTGATGGTGGCGGTTTATGTGCAACCTGTTTATTTGTGGGTGAGTGCATCTGAGTAGGGTATGGGGGGGTGTTATCAGGTGCGCCATAAAGAGGGCAAAGATGAGGCCCAGGGTGGCCACTGAAGCGTCTGGCATGTTTGCCATTGAACAGGGTGTCTGTTCGATGTTTGAGGACATTGGTCTGTTTTCTGAGAGCCACAGATTCCATTTGCCAGAGAGCATTAATAATTTTGAAATTGGCAGTGATATGAGTATTGGACATTCTGAGCAGGTTTTGTCAATTTTGGTAACTAAAAGTGCTGAGGTTTGCTGTTCCCAATTTGTGTTTTTCATGCATTGCTTGTTTGACTTTGTCTTGGAGGTTTGGACGGGGCAAGTGTTCTGTATGAGAGCTGTTTGTTGCGACATGTGGAAGAAAGGATTTTCTGCCTGGTTAAGTGAGGCATCAGCTTCATCAGGCAACATAGCTGCTTGAAGTGCAAGAGCATCTGCGCCTTCATTACTAAGGATGCCACTGTGTGACTCACGTCAGATTTTACTTTGTAGAAGTGTACAGGGCCTCTGCAGCGCAAATGCAAGTGACAATCTCTTTGAGTAATGGTGTGTTTAAGTGCGTGGACATGTCCATAGATTTGGGGATTTGGTCTATAATCTGATTTAGATTCTCCGGATAAGTTAGGCTTTTGGCTCTCATGTTACACAGGTCACAAGTTACTCAGGTTACAGGCTACAATGGGATTCAAGCCTTCAGCCAGGCTATCTATGTGTAGTGTAGATTCTAAGGGCCCTATGGTGAGGACCTTGCTAGCTTGCCAGTTAGGAGACCTTCCCGAAATGCACGCGGCCTCTGGCTTGCGTAAACTTTTCTCTTTTACTAGAGCAGGCTGGGCAACCTACCTTTCTAGCTGAAGGCTTCATCCCATTGTAAACACTTGTGAGGTGCTGCAGGCTGACAGGGCGTTGAGCAATATTTATGATGTGAAATGTTGGACATCAGAAGCTCTGACTGCACTTAGGGGGCTGCAAAGGAGTGAGCTGTACAAACAATCTGTTTGTAATGGGATGATGATTAATGTTTAGGATTTTGTAAAAGACTTGCGGACACGGCTGTGTAGGGATTGGCATGACTTGGACTGAGCTGTCCCAGGGATCACAACCAAAAGTGGACTGCTTTCCATTGTTGGAGCGTTTCTCCTTTGAACCCTGTTAGTGCTGAGACTGCGCCTTACAAAGCCCCTAGATACCTCCATTTGGATTTAGGAAGACGTGTGCAACGGGATGTTCCTTGTTTCAGGCTAAGGGTCCACATGACGGGAGTAGAGAGAACATGTTGGCAGGATGGTGTGAATGGTCACTGTGATCTTTATGATCCACAAGATTTGCAAGACGAGAAACATGCCCTTTTTTCTTTGTTATTGTGCAAGTATTTGTGCTCTTTGAGATTTACAGATGTAGAAAATGGACCATGTGGCAATGGGATCGTTCAGACTTGCTCGGACATGCGCCGATCTCCTAGAGGTCAGGGTTTTGAGCCGCTAAGATGCCCTCGAAGGCGTATAGAAGCAATAACCTTCCTTCATTCCTTAACTCCCTAGAAAATGGACCGCTTAGTAACTGTGCGAGTATTTGCGCTCTTTGAGACAGGTACGCATATCTCTTCTTTGAGCTTTCTTCTCAGACAAGAATTTCCCTTGGTTCGACTTGTTTCTATCATTCCGAGGTTGGCAATGAAGACGTTCGTCATTTTTTCATTAAAACTCGAATTAATTGTGTTTCTTTCTTTCTGAGATCATGGACGTCTTTTGTGTGGCTGGCCAGCAGGCTGAGCAATCAAACAACCATGTGGTCAGCACTGCATGAGAGCTTTTGCATGTGGTCAGCACTGCATGATAGCTTTTGCCTGGAGATCACACAATCATCAGATCAATTGCAAAAACTTGGCACTACAGGATCTCATTGGAAATCATGCCATCGTTGTTTTCTCTGTTCTCTCTCTATTCTGTTGTGCTTCTCTCTGTTCTGTTGTTCTCTCTGTCCTCTCTGTTCTATCTCTCTGTTCTGTTGTGTCTCTCTGTTCTCTCTCTGCTAAAGAAGATCTATAGCAAAACCTTGGCACTACAGGAGCTCATTAGAAATCATGCTATTGTTGTTCTCACAGAGACTTGGACAAACGCTCTAGACAGGCTCATGTCTGGTTTGCACGACACGCATCGGCTCGTACATGCCACGCACATTGCACAAGGAGGTGTTGGGAAACCAGGCTTTGGGGTGACTGTGCTTGCAGCACTTTCAGTGTGCTGATTTTTTGCATGTGCATCTAGACTCACAGCGCTTGCAATGCATTTGGGTGCGCTGTGGTAAACGGCTGTTTGGGTTTCAGGAGGATGTCATACTAGGGGCGGCGTGCACCAACCCTATTAGTCAGCATTTTCCTGTGCGAGCAGTGATTGACTCATTCTCTTCTCTACTTGATGAGGTTGCGCGTGTCACACAGGTCTCCCCTCATGTGCTGCTGTGTGGCAATCTGAACGCCAAGATTGGCAGGCTGAGAGGGGTCACGCACATTCATGGTGGTCTTCTGATGGCGCACCCTGCCCTGCACCAAGCCCGTAGATGTAAGTTCCCTAGTGTGAATGCTGCTGGCAAACTGTTGGTGGAACTTGCAAGCACTTGTGAGTTGGTGTTGGGCACGGGCAGGGTGCGTAGGGATGATGGGCAGTGTACTTGTTTGGGGCATGATGCTGGAATGGAAGGGAGCAGACCTGACCATGTTATGATGTCTGACAAGATGTTTGGGATGGCTGACTGTGTGCACATCATTGAGGATCGCGCCATCAGTACTGATGCTTACAGGGCAGTGGTCACTAGTGACCACTGCCCTGTAAGCATGACGTTTCGAGTGCCTACAGCTAATCTGGAGGGTGCAGACTGGGACATGCAAGCTGAGCATGTGTGTAAGCCCGGGGGGGGTATGTTTTCAGGTTGTCCATGAACTGGCAGCCTGAGCTCGCTGAGGTTTATGCGGAAGCACTTGTAGGGAACACTGAAATGCAAGCTCAGTTTGAGCAAGCCATTGCAAAGGAGGATCCGGTGTCTGCCTGTGAGACGGCCTGTTTTTGCTTGCATTCCATGATCGCACAAGCTGCTGGGGACGCGGGCATGGCTGGGCTAGTCAGCATGTGTGGGCCTTTACGTGCCAACCAGAGGGGCGCTCACAGCCCTCCCTGGTTTGATGCAGCATGTAAAGAGAAGCGTCGTGTGTTTATGGAGGCCCTTTGAACGGGTCAGCCTTTGCATGCGCGAGAGTTTGTGTGTAGGCAGTACAACATCCAAGTTCGGTGGTCAAAGCGTGTGTACACGCGGAAACAGAGGGATGTGTTCCTAGGTAGGCTCTACAGTAAAGACCCTGATGTGCATGCAATGCTGAGGAGGTCTAAGCGTCCTCAAACCACACCTTTGGCTCAACCTGTATGGGATAAGTACTTACGGAGCACTTTCGGTAAGGGAGCTCAGTTGGTTCGTTGGGGGTTTGACTCTAACTGTGAGAGGTATGGCTGTTCTTCTGGGTCGTGGGCGCAACGTTGAGGCTCTTTCGAGACAGAGTACACAAAATAATTGGATGCCTGAGCCGGATGCAGTTGCTGTGCTTTTTGAGCAGGCGATACTAGGTTTGGTAGCTGCGCAGATTGGGAAGATAAATGGGCGTGCCTCTCCTGGGTTAAGCTGTGTGGCTGCATCTTTTACCAAGTATGTTACTATGGCGCGCCCAAGGGTCACTGGCCGGGGCACTGAGCGGGTGAATGTGCTGGTGTCATACATTGCCCGGCTTTTCAAACTGTTTATGACAAGGCTCGCATTCCTGAATGTTGGAAGCAGGCCAAGCTGACCCTTTTGTACAGAAAGGGACCCCTCCTTGAACCTAACAGCTATCGCATGTTGGCTGTCAGTGGAACAATGTACCGTTTGTATTCTAATGTGATTCGTTCTCTTGTCACGGACTGGTGCATAGCCTCAAGCAAGATTCCAGACACACAGTTTGGCTTCTACCCTGGAAGGAACACCCTCCAGCCCATCTACATTTTCAGCACCTACAGCATGCTGCAAGCACAATAGAGCCTGGCAATCTAGCCGGCTGCACACTGCGTTCATTGACTTTAGGCAAGGTTACAAGGCTACAATAAGATCCAAGCCTTCAGCCATAAAGTTTGGCTGCTCGGCTCTGATGCGACAGAAAGAATCCCGATAAAAGCTGCCAGCATCAGTGATGAGTATGTTTTGAAGGATGGAGAGAAGACTGCTCGGGTGAGTCCCGACACAGGTGTGAAGCAGGGCTGCCCTTTCTTCCCTTTACTTTTCTCTCTATATGTTAACAACATTGATGAAATTGCGGAAAAGGTGATATTAATACTTCGCAGGCCATGCTGAACCGCTTGCATGCGAATGCTCAGAGGAAGCACCTGATCATCAATACT